TAATTAAAGAAAAGACAGTTACGATGATTGAAGAAAAGGAATCTCACTTAAAAGATTTACATTCGGATATTGAATTTGAATATTTGGACAGCATTGATCGTTTTAGGGTAATTTTCAATGATCCTGAAATTAGAAATATAACAATATCTTCACAATTATGTTATGTTCTCGGCTTCCCTATGGGCCCATTGGTAAATGGTCAAATTGGAAAATATGGAATTGATCTCAAAGGAGGATTCACAAGCTTTGCTGTTTATTCAAAGGGGTTAACGGGAACTGTAATTATGGGAAATTCTGTCAGTTCATTACTTAGAATTGTGGCTGTCGAGAATAGGTCTGGCGGAGTTGTTGAAAGAGTGTATGATCAACCAATGTTCATACCGGTGTTGCCTAGAGAGATTAATGAGGTTGAAATTGAACTAAGATGGATGAATGGAAGTCTTGTGAAATTTGATCATGGAACTGTAATTATTACTCTAATGTTTAACAGAATGATAAAATTTTGATTAACTCAATATTATTTTTAAAAATTGTAAAATTTTATTATATATTTTTTATCATTTTAATAATAAAATTAAAAACAAATTCGTCTGGATTTGAATAATTTAATAATAAGGATAAGAATTTTTTATAAGTGTATCCAGAAGAAATAAAATAAATGAAGGTGATACAATGTTGCCCACAAGTGGGAAGTAGAGGGTTTTGAAGGGGAACATTATTTATTACTCGGTTTGGAAATTTGGAAGTAAAATTTTTTATTTGTGTAGGAATTTCTGGAAGCAATAATGAATCAAAAATAAGAATCTTCTCAGGGTTTATTATGAAAAATGCAATCCAATGTGATCCGTTTTGAGAAGATTTTTCAAGGTTGACTACCATTGAACAAGGATATTTTTGAATTTCTTGTGGGATTTTGTCTGCAGCAAAGCACCCAATAAAACATCTTCTAGTAATTCTGTTGTTTATTAAAATTTTCTCGATTTGTATAGTGTCCATTTTCGTTGGAAAGGAGATGTTTATAACTCTCTTTGTACTTCTACAAGTTCAACGTCCTTGCTGTTGTTTTTAATTTTTATAAACTTTCTCAGTTGATAAGTTAAGGCAATAGCTAACAATAAAAGCCAGAGTATAATCAATAAAACGCAGTAAATAGTTTGAGCGATTGATGTTTCTGAAGATGGAAATTCCTTGCAAAGTGAAGGAAATTGTACATTATTCACATGTTCCATTGATGAAAAATTAAAAATATTAATATCTGTTTCAGGAATAAAATTAGAGTGATGTCTAGTGTTATGTTGAACTCTTTCAGAAATTATTGGGAATTTTGTTAAAGACGAATTGATAAGTTCGATTGATTTAGGAGGTATTGTATTTGCGTAATAACCTATACGTTCTCTTAATATTTCTCTATATTCAAGATTATCATTTTCATTAGTCATAGAATATTGTAGTGATAATTTATACAGAAAGAAAAATAAAATAATAAAAATGAAGCTAAATTCAATTTTAATAGTAATATGGAACATTTTAAATGAAATGGGGAATAAAAAATGAGGAAAATTTGGGGTATTTATACTGAAATATCTGTGGAAATAGTTCTGTTCCTATCTAACATTAGCAGCGAATCGATTTCACCCATTGCTACAAGTACAATCCCACCACTTGGAACCGGTTCGTTGAAGGTCATCCTTATACTTGTTGTACCATTCTTAATTAAATCAAACATCTCTGGCCCATTATCTTCTTGACTATTTGTGAGGTTAAATACGAAAAAGCAATATCCAGCATATGCATACCGAAACATTGATATACCGTTACTTTCTAGTGATCCCGCGTACCCAATTGCTTCTTGCATGTCATGATAAATTCTAGCGTAGTTTCCTTTCGGAAAATCAAGGGAATAAGGGGCTGCTGGAAAAGTTACTCCCCCGGCAGTTATGGAAATATCTCTCAAATTAAAATGTTGAAAATAAAAAGGTGTTGTTCTTTGCCGTCCTACAAAATCTTTATTATCAACCATTCCCAATATAATTCTTCTAGGCACCTGATCCATCCATAGATTAGCATTAAATTCTGTTCTATTTTCACTGATGAATAAGGATTTGAGAGATGTTTTTCTTAACGGGTATCTTGCGGGCTTCATTTCAAGTTTTTTCGCGATATCAAAGGCTAGACTGTCCATTAGCTCAATCTTCTTTACATATAATTTACATGCCAAAATTTCTAAATGGTATTTTGGGGCTGTGTCCCAGGGAGCACTAAGTAGGAAACTTGATTCATTTGGTAGTAGTTCAATATCAACTTCACATTGGTTTACTAAATATCTTGGTTGATTACAAATATCAACATCCAATTTTGCCATAAATTGTGCACTACGCGGATTTCCATCTTCGTCTAAGAATAATCTTTTCCTTGATTTAACTCCATAACCATTAGAATCAACTCCTGGGTATGTTTGTGTGGCTCCATCATCATAATATCCTGCCACTGAAAGGTATGAGTTCTTTACACTTTGTGGGTAGGTTAGTTCGTAGTCAAAAATACTTTTGTAAGCCATGAGGGAATTCCCTTCAAAAACCTGTGTTCCATTAATATGCATGCGACAATTTTTCCATATTGTATGTCCTATAAGCTGCACGCTTGCCACATTATCATCTTTTCCTATGTCAACAAATTTCCCATCCTTGTCTTCTTTCTTAATCCTAAGTTCAGTAAAAACATAAGTTTTGGACAAATCAATATAATTTGTGCTTGCGTGGATTTTGAAATGAAAAGGGGTGATATTTACTGGATTAAGTGTGAGTAATTCAATAAATGATGAGTTGCTAATACTAACATTTGTATGAGGAGTTTCGAAAAATGATAAAGCATTTGTTATTGCGTTGCCAGAATCGCGATCAATTTTTTGATGAGTAGACATTTTTATTTAATAAAGACCGAATGTATCTATTTTTTGACGTTTCTTTTTTAAGCTATGAGCAGGTTTATTACCAATAATTATTTGATGACTTTTTTCTTTTGAAAATGTTGAATGAGGTCTACGTTTTCTTTTGAGGTTTTTTATACTATTCCTCGCTTGCAATCCGGTTCCAAATTGTTTTGGCATTCCACTCTTTTCAAGTAATCTGTCTAATCCGCGTTTTCCTTCACTAATCACTGTTTGTTTAAAATTTGGTTTAATTGCTTCCTGGTCATATTCTGGATTTCCCACACTTTCTAAAATTCTTCCACCTGTATCCAAAGCTTCTTTTGCTACAGCTGTTCCCGCACGTTTTGCATAAGGTAAAAGGAATCGCCAAAAATTTCTAAGTACATCTCCTACTCCTCCACCTGTTTGTCTTCCGTATCCACGCTGATAAGGATTGAGTCCACGAAAATAGTAATAATTTTCATCAGTCCCTCCTCCTATTTGACTGATAGCTGTATGATGATCATCGTATCCGATTGTTCGCGGATCAAAGGGAATATGAACCATATTTAGTTTAAATAAATTTAAGTATATTTAATGAAAATACGAAATTAAGAAGCGTAAATTTATAGAATAAAATTTTAAGTAGAAAAATTTGGGATAAATTGTAAAATAAAATAATTTAAATTATTTAATGGTGTTCAAATTTTGATTGACAATGAGTGTTTATTAATTTAATATTAATTAAAGGTTTTATTAATGGAAGGTTTCCCCGCCTATTTTTAAAATTTGAATTCCCGCCAACTTTTAAATTTTGAATTCCCGCCAACTTTTAAATTTTGAATTCCCGCCAAATTTTGAAATTTGGCATTTTGAATAAATCCCCTTACATTTGAAATTCCGCTCATTTTTTAAAATTGTTTTATTTTTGTCAAAATTTTGTAATAATTGTTATTATTTTTTAATTTAATTTAATTTTTTAATTATTTTCAAGAATTCACATTTTAATTTTAAATTTTTTAAAATTTTAATTACGAAATTTTTAAACTTTTTAAAATCCTCCACCCCATCCCCCAAAATACACAGAGATATTAATATAAATAAATAATCAAATTATTTGATTAAACTTATCTAAACCTCTATGTCCGAATGGATAAGATTCCCGCATACGAAAAAATACGAAGGTGAAGTTTCGATTCCGCTCGGGGATTTTATTTTTTAAAATTTTATATTATTAATCAAAAATATACCCATTAAACTTTTCATATTTTAATTATCACTTCCCACCCCTATCACTTATCAATCACACCCTTATACTTATTAATGTACCTAATCTTCTCTCAATCAATCAAAACATTTCTGTAAATATTTCCCTTACCTCTACCCAATAGATACTTGAAAAACCAAAAAAATTCGTTTCTTTATACCTTTCTTTTATTTTACCTCATTTTCACATCCCACCAAAACCTTTTGACTTCTTTTATTTTACCGCACTTTCAAAAAATAATTTTAAAAACTTTATTTTACCCTCCAAATGTTGCAACAGACCACCCAGACACCAAAAACATCAAACCTGTCAATTACCGCAAAATTCAACCAAAAAAGCAATTAATCATCAATGATTAATTACCCTAATTAATCATGATTAATTACCCTCAAACCCCCCAAAAGCAAAGGGTTTGCGGCAAAGATCAAAAGAAAATACCCCCTATAGCCTCAGGTTTGATTGACAGGTGATCAAATGGGGTGTGACATTTGTGACGTTTGGGAGGTACTTACTACTCGCTTCCACCACAACAACCTCAACAGCAACAAATAATTCAGCAACAGGAAATGCTTCCCATTTCGGCGCAGCCAAATGTTCGACCACCGTTGGAGGAACGACTGAAGGAATTGTTACAACGAATTCAACAAAGAGCGCCTTCTACTTCTGGCTCTACAAATAATTTGGAACAACAACCTTCTACTTCAACACAGTCAACTTCAAGACAAAGTGGCTCATTATTAAAAAATTTCGGAACACTGGCACTTATTGTATTAATTATTTGCTGCTTTTTTGGATTAACAACTCAAGAAGTGACACGAACCAGAGTTCGAACACCTTCAGGCAGCAAAACAGTTTATAAGGTACGTGCTTCCCCACAAATGTTACAAACATATAAGGAACAACATCAAGAAATAGATAGATTTAGAAGGAAAAATATAATAAATGAAATAAAAAATGGGGAACCCGTATTTTGGTGCGCGACGCAGTCCAGCGCTCTGTGGAAATTCCCTTCTAAAGAGGAAGCCACATTTTGTAATAAGGATAAATTTCGAAAATGGAAAAATTTCGGTTTCGAAACTTTTTCCCAAATTACACACCCCGAACCTGTTGAAGGATTAATTTGTTCCGCAAAATACACAAAAGAAACTTATTACACAAATTTTTTGGGTGATAAATTTCTTAAGTTGGAACAAAATTTGCTTCCAATTTCAAAGGAAGATTGTTTAAAAATTAGGGAAAATAAAATATGCCCTCTAAATAAAAAGATTATGGAAAAGAAAGATGGAATATGGAAAACCGAGGAAGTCTTAAATATAGATTTCCCAGGAAGATTTTCTTCCTTTTTCTGGGGTGAAAAATCCTCAGAGGTTGTTAACTGTATGTTACAACCAACCACACTCCATTATAATCCTCAAACTCTAGAAATGGTTTCCCCGCTCTTTGAAATTAAAAAATGTCATTTTATGACTGACTTTTGTCAGTTATCTGACAATTCGAGTCTCATTTGGGAGGCAAATTGTGAGACGAGGAATTGCAAAAGTTGTTTCTATGAATATTTGGGAAGGTGGGAAGGAGATTATACCCAAGCAAATGAAAGAATTGTTTGGATTTCCAACACAAAGGAAATTGCGCTCTCATTCAATTATGAAGCCTCTCGAGAAATGCTTGCAATGGTCGGGCTGTAAGAAAATCTGACCAAGGATTTGCCATTGACGAGAAGGAATTTATTAAAATGTTTACCTCAAGGCAGAAGCGTTCTGTCGATGAGGAACAACTTGCGGCTGAATTAACCGCTACTGAAATTGCCCTAAAGGAATTTTATGATAAAATTATGGAGGAAAAATGCCGTCAACAAATTGTAAGACATGATAATCCAACTTATCATGTCAGACAGGCATTCCATAAGAAAGCCCTCGTTGCTACCTGGTTAAATGAGGATACTGCAGAAGTATTTTCATGTGCTCCCATCGACTGGAGCAGCATTAAATTTCGACCGGTCGATAGATGTTATAAATATATTCCGGTGGAAGTAAATCTGCATAACCGGACTCAAGTCGGATTTTTAGACCCCGAGCTGCTATTTTGTCGGAGTCTTCTCTTCCTGCAGATTGTGAGCGGTATCGCTTACGTTATTTGAATATAGGCCCGAACCAATGGATTCGGGTTAACACTCAAACAGGCCTTTGGGACAAAGTGGAACAATCGAAGCTACATATTTTCCAGGATAATGTTACAGCTCCGGACATGAGTGTATCACCTATAGTATTCCATGAGTGGGTACTCAGGAATACCACAGAGGAGCCACTTTTTGTTCATGTTAATGAACTGTCCCAATATGAAACTTGGAAATCCTCGGTTAATACCGTGGAATCAAGTAGAGCAATTGCTCTTGGTGCCATGCCAGGAGGACTGGAAGGCACAATTAAAACTTGGCTTTGGAGCAAATGGAAGCTTTTTGTAGACTGGTGGATGATTTGTAGCTGCCTTTTCTCCACCTTTTTATTTTTAAGGGACATTGGAGTCCCACTTTTGACAGTCTATTTTCTCTTCCCTATAAGAACGACTATATTTTCGCTCTTAGGAAGAAGACAGACTGAGAATCCTCCTCGCAGAAAAGAAACTCGAAGAAATCGAGTCTCTCAGGACGAGGTCGAATTATCCTCTATTGCACCCCGCAGGCAGCGAATTAACTACTTTCCGCGCAGAGCTTCGAACGAAACAATTCGAACTCTAGGCACGGAAAGTGTAATGCTCCCTCTATGATTAGAGGGCGCAAATAAATAAGAGAGAGAGATAAAAAAGAAAAAAAAAGAAAAATTAAAAAAAAATAATAAAAATTTAAAAAAAACAAAAAATATTTTATATTTTAAATAAACAAATTTGTATATATTTTGAAAAAATAATACCAAAATATTTTTAAAGGAATATTTATAAAAATATATATAGAAATTTTAATAATCAAATTTAAATATTCCTTTTTATTGTATTCTTATATTTTGAAAAAATAAGATAAATAAATATCAAAATATAAAAATACAAAATAATTTTAATTTTCAAAGATGTCGACTTTTGATGATGAGGAAGGAATTGGAAGAGGATAAAGATGTTATGATGCGGAAGAAAAATTGGAAGAAGAGAAAGAAGTTAGAGGATGGGATGAAGAAGTAGATTGGGGAGATGAGGAAGAAGAAGAAAATAAATAGGAAGAAGAAGGAGAGGAAGAAAATAAAAAGAAAGAAGTGGTTGAGAAAAAGAAGGATGAAAAGAAGATAAAGAAAGAGGTTAATAGTAGTAAAGGAAAGGAAATAGTGGAAGTGGTTGTGGTGGACTTGCAGTGGGAAGAGGTGGAGGTGGCTGAAGAAATGAAAGAAATTGTGTGTGAAGAGGAAGAATAGAAGGGAAAATTAAAGAAAAATTTAAGAAGTTTATTTTTTAGAAAAAATTTTAAAATTAGTACAGTTTTTTAATTGTAAGCCAACTCTGATAAGCCCCCTTTTATTAAAATTTTCAATTTTATTTTTTCTTTTTAAATTTTTTAAAAATATTAGAGTTGGTAATTTTATTTTGAAATTTAATATTTTGTATCGTCCCTTCATTATTTTTAAGACTCCTTTTTTTTAGGCGGGGAGGCTAACGGGACTCTGTCCCTGAAAATTAAAAATCAGTAAAAGTATGTTTATACATACTCTTCAAAAAATTTGATTTTTCCAAAAATTCCAAAAAAATTTAAAATATTAAATAAAATTAAATAAAAATATAAAAGTGCAAGTCAATAAAAAGGAGAAAAATATTTTTTTTAAAAATTGGACTTTGTATCTTTCTAAAAAATACAAAGAAGATTTATGTGATTCGTTCTGTTTTTCAAAAAGATAAACGATAACAAAGTAATTAAAAGTGCATGTATAAGTTTAATCGTTTATCGAGAAACCGTGAACGGCTCATTATAATGGCCAAAAATTTTGGCTTAAATTTGTGAATGAACACATGATGGTTTTTGGCACTTTGTTAATGGAAAAAGTTATATTTTGATAAAAATATTTATTGTTAGCAAAAAATGGATTTTTTGCTAACTGGCTGATCGAAATTATTTTCGATTAGTAGCGAAAGAAAGAAAAAAATAATTGTTTTCTCTCTTATCGCCCACGTTTGGAAAGTTAGAGCTAATACATGAACTAAAGTTTTGTCCTCTCAAGAGGAAATTTTTAGCCGTTCTCGGCTGCCTCCTTTTATTTTTTGAACACCAATCCCGCCTCCCCCTTCTTTTATTTATAAGCGAAAATTTGCCCCCTTTAGTTATCAGTTCACTCAAAAATTATAAAAAATTTAAAAAATAAAATAAAAATATTTTTAAAAATAATTTGTATTTTTATTGGAAATTATTAAGGAAAAAATTTAAAAAAAAAAATTAAATTTAATTGGAAGAAGAAGAGAAAATTTTTTGGGAAGAATTAAAATTTAAATTTGGAATTTACTGTGTCCTACACATATCTGTATACATATCCAGATATCTTTAATACATATCTGTAATTTGTATCCTTAATGTGTTTTCGATTTTCGGGGGTCTGTTCCGAAAGGATAACACTAGTTAATTTTAATCATTTTATATTGTTTCTGCAAGTGTGGACACAACAAACAAATATGTACAAGGCATTTTAATGTTAAAATCTAAATTATAAATATTTTTCTTACATCCTTGCAATTGATGGCGCATTGTATCTAAGAAGATTTTTTTGTTTTCTTCGTACTCATCTTGCCCTATTAAATTAATTGCTTTATTTTTTCCATTTTTAGTTCCAAAAATATATTTGATAAAATTTTCACTAGAAATGCTTAAATAATTTAGATGCACTGATTTAATCGTATTTTTAAATGTTTCAATTTCAAAACATTTCTCGATTATTTCACTAATTTGTTCATCATTTTCGCACAAAATTTGATTTTCAAAAATACTCTTCTGAAATTTTAAAATTAATAGAAAATAACAATTTTCAAGCTTATATTTTTATATCATACTTACATATTTAAACTTGATTGTATAATCATTCCAATGAGTATTTTTTGAAAGTTCTTCATTTTTTGCCAAAAATTCTACTAAACTATAAACTTTACAAAATTTCATTTCCAATGACCAATTTTCATTTTTAAAAAGCTCTTCCAACAATTTCAAGGAATTTTCATGCAATTTTTTAAAACTACTGCCAAATTCATCATTCCATCCAAAATTTTCATTTTCTATTTCCTTTGACTCATTTTCTTTATCCTCACTATTTTTAATCATTAATTTCATAAAAATTGCTTCTTCATTATCGTCAATTTCCGCGAATTGTCCAGCAACATTTTCAAAAAGAAATTCAAAATACGCATTAAATGATGTGAGTGATAGTTCTCGCAAAACTTCATCATCCATTCCCTCATAATCATTTTCAAAGTATTTTTTATACATTTCTAATATTTCCCCTTTCGCTTTCTCAGAAAATTGTTTATATTCCTCGGTTTTGAGGAATTCTCTTGTTGTTTCAATTATTTCGACGAAATAATAAATTAAAATAAAATATGTAAAATAACGCATAATTGCGTATATTTTGAATTATTAAATTTAGAAGTTAAAATTTCACAAAATTTCTAAAGATCATTTGTCATTAGTAATGACAAATGGTCTTTAAGACCATTTGTCATTACTAATGACAAATGACATTTCTAATATTTCAAATGGTCTTTAAGACAAATGGTCTTTAAGACCATTTGTCATTAGTAATGACAAATGGTCTTTAGATGTAAAAGGTTATCAGGCCTATGAAATTAAGAAAAAAGCAAGAAAATAACCACATATTCATCGTTTTTTGACCATTTTGCCATTTATTCGTCATTTTAAATCATTTCTTGAACAAAAATTGTGTAATTTTTTTACAATGTCGATAATTGGAAAAAGCAAATCTCGCCCAACCCACAAATCGTCCCACCCCAAAATGTCCCGCCACCAAAACGTCTAATCTCAAAATGTCCAATAGAGGAAAAATACTCAATTTGTCGAACTAAAAATTAAAAATGGGACTTGGCATTGATTTTTTCTAATTTGGGACTGATTTTTTTAGATTTTGCACTGATTTTTAGGCAAAATTTCGAAAAAATCGCTAAAAAGGCAAAAATAGTACCAAAAATTGCTAAATAGGCAAAAAGGCTCAAAAAGTCCGAAATAGGTAGAAATAGGCAAATTAAAAGTCATGCTAAACACTTCGGACCAAGCTAATAACACGTTTTTTGAACGTATTACACCATCCCAAGCTTGCAGAAAAAAAAACCAATCATCACCAACGGAATAAAACAAAAAAATAGACTACATACATATCAGGGGTGTGCGAGTTTCGCTTTTCGCATTTCGCTTTTTGCGGATTTTCGCCTTGGACTTTCGCATTTCGCGTGTCGCTTTTTTAAAAGACTTTCGCTTTTCGCGTTTCGCTTTTTGCGCGATATGCGAAAGTTTTATACACCCCAAATGACAGGTGAAAGATGATAAAGTTGGAGAAAAAATGAGCCCGGTTAAATTGAAAACTAGGGTTGTTGGCGACCGGTTATTAACCGGTACCCTCGGTTTTCGGTTATCGCCGGTTTTCGACCCCCGGTTTTCGGTTCCGGTTTTTGATTTACCCCCGGTTTTTGGTTAACCGGGACCGGTTTTTGGACAAATTTTCATCCAGAATATCCCATTAAGATTTTGTCACATTCTAAAGCTTTTAAATAAATATTCTATATACTAGGGGTTGAATAATTTACAGATCTCAACAATTCGATGATTTAAAAGGTATATGGCGAGATAAATGGGCTGTTTTTGTATATTAGTAAGGTAGAGGGATTAAGTGATATCGATAATCGGTGGATTAATGCATATCAATGATCGGGGATTAGGAAGATGAGAAGTTATCAATGGCGTTGGTTATCAAAGGCCGTCGATATTACATGTCACCTTGAAATCAAACGATATAACTCCAAATCCACCTTAGTCCATCCTAATCCTCTGCTATACCATTCAATTTTTTTACAGCGCCCAGGCGAAAATTTTGGGATTTTAATGAACCAAGCAGGCATAGTTCTTCAATTTTCAGCGTCGAGGCGAAAATTTTAAGGATTTTGGAAGATCCTTAAGCCAGAAATCTTCCTTTTTTGCGCCGCAGGCGAAAATCTAGAGAATTATGGAAGGCCAAGAAGCCAGCTTTCTTCCATTTTCAGCGCCGCAGGCGAAAATTTTGAGAATTTGGAAAACAGTAGGTAAAAATTCGCTGTTTTCAATATCTTTCTCCTCATCTATTTAAAAAATTTGCTACAACTTTTTACACTTTTGATAATGTTCAAGAATAAATTTGCATATTTAAGATCAAAATTAAAAATTTAAACTTCATTTTTGGAACGAAAAAACTGAAATAAACTTCATTCACAAAATAAGATCAAACCCTATAATACGTTATTGCCCGCCAGCTTACCCACTAAACCAGCTTACCTCCCCAACGAAACAATAAAATTATTATATATATCTTGACATTTTTAATAATTTTGATAAAAATATTTTAACAAAATGTATTTTAGTCATTCGAATTTCCGAAAAATTCCCAAAAATTTCCATCGTTAGGGGTGTATTTTTAAAACCGAAACCGGGCGGTTTTGGTCACCGGTTTTCGGTTATCGCCGGTTTTCGACCCCCGGTTTTCGGTTCCGGTTAATTTGCCAAAAACACCGGTTAACGGTTCCGGTTCCGGTTCGGTTAACCGTCCGCCAACAACCCTATTGAAAACCTCCAAAATTCTCAAAATTTTCGCCTGCGGCGCAGAAAAAGGAAGAATCTGATAGTCGAAGGACGGTGGCTTTACAGGGATTCAGGTAGGCTTCGAGGGATATAGAGGGTTTTGAGGTATACCTATCTGGGAGATCAAGTTATTTGGGAGGTTATCAATCATGGGATTTAATACTTGGTTAAATTTTCAACCTGAAACCCGATCCGAATAAAATTTTGAAACCCCGACCCGACTTTTTTCTCAACCCGTCCCATCCCTGGTCTGTATCTCTTCAAATCTCTTGATATTCCTGATGCCCGTCAAAATCCTATTGTAAAACTCAGTCGAGGCTTTGATTTGCAACAAAGCACTGAGTTGACAAATCTCTAGAGATTTCCCATCATACCGGAAAAATTTTAAAAATTTCGCATTTCGCTTTTCGCATTTCGCGGATTTTCGCCTTTTTTGGACTTTCGCTTTTCGCATTTCGCGTGTCGCTTTTTTTAAATAATTTTCGCTTTTCGCGTTTCGCTTTTTAAATTTAAATTCGCTTTTCTCATTTCGCGTTGCGCTTTTTAAAATCCGTTTCGGCACACCCCTGTTACATATGTATATGTTAACCACAAGTGTATGGATAATTAAGAGAATAACTACATAACAGTTGGATTGGAAGAAAAAACTCGGATACCGAGCACGTCAAATTGAAAATTTCGGACTAATATTCAATAAATAAGGATTATTTGAGAAATAATAAGAAAGTTACTAATCATTTTTAAATATTAATTTTAAAGTTATATTTTGTTTAATAATACCCACCCTTAACCCGTTCAAATCCACTGATATACCACAATTTCGCCAAATCCCTTGACACTCCGACTTGACACTCAAATTCTATACTATATTGGCTATTTTTATACTATAGTGACTACACAACAGTCGGATTGGAAGAAAAAAACCCTGATAAAAGGCCCGGCAAATTGAAAATGTCTAACTCTATTATTCAATAAAAAAGGCAATAAGTGTGAAATAATAAAAAGTTACTAATCATTTTTAAATATTAATTTTAAAGTTAGATTTGATTAAATAATAGCCAGACAACGTCCCTGCTTTAAAGAAAAATGGCAAAATGTCTTATTTTGAAATTATAATTAAATGCTAAGCGCGAGGAGATGTAAAGGCAAGGAGCGAGTCCCTCAATTCCCTCTTTACAAGTCCCTCATTACGCACTCCTGACACGCACTCCAATCAAATCCCTCTTGACTCGCTCCTAACACGCTAACACTCACTCCACACAAGTCCCTCTTTACGCACTCTTGACATTGTCAGGAGTGCGTTAAGAGGGATTTATATTTATTAAAGGAGTTAACATGTGAGTAAAATTATAGGGAAAAGGGAGGAATTTTGGAGAAGACATTGGTCAACCGATATCAAACTTAATCCATCCGAATTTTCCTAAATTCTCGTATTGTTAAATCCAAGATATCTGTAATCCCTCAAAAAATACATAAATCGCTAAACGCCAATTTATCGAAATCCTTTTAACCTGGTCCAAATCCAGCGATATCCCATTATTCCGCCAAATCCCTCGACACTCAGATATCGCTTCAAATTTTATACTATAGTGGCTATTTTATACTATAGTGGCTATTTTTATACTATACATAGTGACTACACAACAGTCGGATTGGAAGAAAAAAACCCTGATAAAAGGCCCGGCAAATTGAAAATGTCTAACTCTATTATTCAATAAAAAAGGCAATAAGTGTGAAATAATAAAAAGTTACTAATCATTTTTAAATATTAATTTTAAAGTTAGATTTGATTAAATAATAGCCAGACAACGTCCCTGCTTTAAAGAAAAATGGCAAAATGTCTAATTTTGAAATTATAATTAAATGCTAAGCGCGAGGAGATGTAAAGGCAAGGAGCGAGTCCCTCAATTCCCTCTTTACAAGTCCCTCATTACGCACTCCTGACACGCACTCCAATCAAATCCCTCTTGACGCGCTCCTAACACGCTAACACTCACTCCACACAAGTCCCTCTTTACGCACTCTTGACATTGTTAGGAGTGCGTCAAGAGGGATTTATATTTATTAAAGGAGTTAACATGTGAGTAAAATTATAGGGAAAAGGGAGGAATTTTGGAGAAGACATTGGTCAACCGATATCAAACTTAATCCATCCGAATTTTCCTAAATTCTCGTATTGTTAAATCCAAGATATCTGTAATCCCTCAAAAAATACATAAATCGCTAAACGCCAATTTATCGAAATCCTTTTAACCTGGTCCAAATCCAGCGATATCCCATTATTCCGCCAAATCCCTCGACACTCAGATATCGCTTCAAATTTTATACTATAGTGGCTATTTTTATACTATACATAGTGACTACACAACAGTCGGATTGGAAGAAAAAAACCCTGATAAAAGGCCCGGCAAATTGAAAATGTCTAACTCTATTATTCAATAAAAAAGGCAATAAGTGTGAAATAATAAAAAGTTACTAATCATTTTTAAATATTAATTTTAAAGTTAGATTTGATTAAATAATAGCCAGACAACGTCCCTGCTTTAAAGAAAAATGGCAAAATGTCTAATTTTGAAATTATAATTAAATGCTAAGCGCGAGGAGATGTAAAGGCAAGGAGCGAGTCCCTCAATTCCCTCTTTACAAGTCCCTCATTACGCACTCCTGACACGCACTCCAATCAAATCCCTCTTGACGCGCTCCTAACACGCTAACACTCACTCCACACAAGTCCCTCTTTACGCACTCTTGACATTGTCAGGAGTGCGTCAAGA